TTGCATGCCTGGTAGTGAGACAATGGGTCTGAGGGGGACCCCTGACTTGTGTACCTCGGGGAGTCCATAGAAGCGGGGTGTGTTGGATCCCTCTAGCTTCACCTTTTGGTAGTCTGTCTTGCTGATGTTTCCTGAGCTGTGAAATTTCTTCAGGGTTGTTGTAATCCGGTTCCCTAACTGTGGTGTTGGGACTATCATCATCTGTTGGTATCTGCTAGTTGTGCATTGGTTTTCTCAATGTATTGAGCTCTATTAAGGATTACTGTCATGCGTCCTTTGTCTGCCGGTAGGATTACGATGTTTCTGTCTGTCTTGAGTCTTTCCAGGGCTTTCTTCTGCTCTGTTGAATGTGTTCTACTTCCCTTTTCTGCTCAGTGTTGGGATTATTGTCTGTCTGATGATCTGTTGTATTTCCTCTGTGAGTCCATTGCTCTTCAGTGTCAATTCCAGTGCAGCCAGGAAGTCAGTCTTTTTTTGGCGTCTCTGTAATTATAATTCAGTCCACATACTAGGACGGTCTTCTCAGTGTCTGTAAGTGATTGGTCCAAGGTGTTCTTGGTCCGTGTTTCTGTGTTGTCCGTGTCGACGTTGTGAGTGAGTTTGGATAGTTGTCTTGTAGGGCTATTCTTTTCTTTGTTCTGTGATGGCTTATTCCAGTGTGGTTGTCCATTCTTGGTCGGTTGTGTTGGAGTACAAAGCTTTTTGATGTGCAGTTTCCTGCTCATATTTGTGGAGGCGATTGTGGGTATCATTGATCATAACCCTTATCATTCTGCGGCCGTTCTGTGCAGCTGTTCTCTGTGTCTGTGGATTGTTGATAGGTGGTTTATCTTTAAGCTTTGTGGTAATACCTGTTTTCTGAGGCATTCATGCAGGAAGTATAGTCTCACAGGTCTCAGTACACTTGGACAAAAAAGGACATCAATTCAATTGGGACAACACATCCATAATAGTGCTAGCCAAACAGAGACATGCCAGGGAATTCCTGGAGGCCTGGCATTCCAACCGGAACTCTGTCAACAAATACAATAATGAACCAGACCCAATATACAAACTACTTGAAAACAGAACTGCAAGTAATACGAACCACCCCAGCAAACCGAGGCATATAAATAACAAGCAGGACAGAACACCAACGCTTCACTGGAGGCACAATGGCGATATTACTTAGCAGGGTGACAGAATGTCTGCAATCGAACACATCAGCTCGGTGGGCAAGTCTGGAATATTTTGTTGTATGGAACTGAAATGTGGACCTTGAAAACTGCTTAGTCAAAAATTTAAAAATTGTTGAAGGTGATTCAGGAGAATGATGGAATGGATCAATCAGAAAGAGCACAACATCAATGAAGAAGTTCTCAGGATGATGGTGGAGAAAAGATCGTAAGTGACTATCACCAGCAGATGTTAACGAGGTTGGATTGGCCACAATCTGAGGCTTGAGAACAGGCTGAAGGAAGATTAGTGGGATATAAACCAAGAGTGAGAAAGAGAATGCTGATGACAGATAACTAGCAATTGAAAATTGCAGGGTAAAGAGGAAAACGCAAGCCCAAGAGGCAAAAACGGAAGTTGCTGGAAAAGCTCAGCAGGTCTGGCAGCATCTGTGAAGAGAAATCGGAGTTAATGTTTCGGGTCGGGTGACCCTTCCTCAGAGGTTTTCCGGCAACTTCTGTTTTTGTTTCTGATTTACAGCTTCCACAGTTCTTTTGGTTTTTACACAATCAAGAAATATGAATAAATGAGCAGAGGACCTGCCTTTAGGCAAGTCACTGCTACAAAGGCATATTTGATAATGGCATACTCTGATCAATTGAGGAGTGGTCAGATGGCCCTCCTATTTCCCTGGACTATACCTACCTGCAGCATGATTTTTGAAAAGGATCTCCTTCTCAATTCAATGAGTATTTAACTCTTCATGTACTGTTACTGTAAGAAGCAGACAAGTTTTCTTGAGTTTTTTTTGAAGAGAATGGTATGTATTGTACTTATCTAAGTGTAATTAATAATAATGCTCCAACTTTCACACATGCGCATCCAAAGTTCTCCCACTCATCAGTAAGTCACCATGTCGAAGGAGAGTTTGGGAGATACTTTAAAATTCAATAAACTTTAAAGTCATAAAATTCTTGTAGGTTGTTGACTTGAGTGGAGCCAGGCTGAACTCAGTGGTTGTTCTGGTTTCAGTGTTGAAGCAGTTAAAAATGTAAGCAGACAATTTATTTGTTGTTCTGAATGCAGCAGCTACTATTTATGTTCTTTAAAAATCTCTGTGAGATATGTGAATAGTTGATCAGCAGATAGGTGAAGAAAGAAAGGGAGAGGGACTCACATAGGCACCTTGCTTCTAGAGCATCTTTTTCGCTTCTGTTACCCCTCTGGAGTTTAACAGTTTTGTAACCATAACAAGAGCTGTCTGAATTCTCTCCAACTGACCAAATGACTAATGTATACATTCTGGTTGTCTAGTTTTGACTTGATTAGATTGTGATTGGAGTTGGTTCCTTTTTCAGCAAGAGTTAATTTTCTGACTTGTTTACTTCTAATGCATAGTCCTTACTCAAATAATTCTTGAGTGTTCTGTGAATGGATTAGGTGTTGATGCCATCCCAGCTTCTTCAAGGTAATTGGCTGTGCTGGGGGTGGCTATATTTAATAGCCTTGGAATTTACCCTGTACAGTAATGCAAACATTCAGCTATCTTAGAAGCTGCAATTTCAAGTCCCTGGAATGCTGCTTCTGTCTTTTTTCTAAAAAAAAAATCTATTGAGTGGTTTGTAGCTAGTAAATTCTTACTCATTTTTAAATAACGTCATGCTTTGTACGATAGAATATTGTACATTTTAGTGAGCTAATTAACTGCACAGAAAGCTATCATTTAAATTTTGAACTGTTATTTAACTGTACAGTATTCAAATATTACTGGCAAAAGCACTCTTATTGGTGAAAGTACCATGGAGAATGCAACAGATAATGATGATTGACTGTTAACTGCCAGCTTGATTGGTCATGTTATTGTCTTGTGAAATGGGGCAGCAAATGGATGTGAGATAGTAGGAACTGCAGATGCTGGAGAATCCGAGACAACAAGGTGCAGGGCTGGATGAACACAGCAGGCCAAGCAGCATCATAGGAGCAGAG